AAAAAAAAAAAAAAAAAAAAAAACACACTTGACAAATCTGTGTCTAATTTTTAGTCTTTTCAAGGAAACAGACTTTGCCTTTTTGATTAACCTTTTCTACTTAATTTCTTTTTATGCCTTTAATCTTTTTTTTTTGTTTTTGTTCTGCTTTTCTCAATTTATTTTGCTAAAAGTTGGCGGCCAAGGTGGGAGGATCGCTTGAGGCCAGGAGTTCAAGACCAGCCCAGGCAACATAGCAAGGTACGATGTATACAAAAAAATTAAAAATTAGCCAGGCATGGTGGGGCGTGCCTGTAGTTCTAGCTACTTAGGAGGCTAAGGTGGGAGGATCAGCTAGAGCCCAGGAGGTCAAGGTTACAGTGAGCTATGACCAGGCCAGTGGACTGCAGCCTGGGTGACAGAGCAAGACCCTGTCTCTTAAAAAACAAAAAAAGAAACATGTTTTTAAATTTTATAGGAGTAAGGAATTTTTTTGGTGGTGGCCTGAAGGTCAGTGAATGTAGTATATCAACTCTTTAAAGGATCTGGTTGTCTTCCTTTGTCACCTGGCACAATATCAATTTTTTAATGGTTTTGTGTCTTAAAAGAGTATTTTGTGGGGTAGGGGACAAAGTTTTATATTCAGTTATATACTTGGTCAAGCCTTTAAAAATTATTCTGTCCCAATCTTTAATGTTTTTTGTCTTCCTGACCTGTGAGCCACTGAGATGTGTATAAAACTGAATTTCTCCTTGTAATTCTATCAGTTTTTGCCTTACTGGGTACACGATTGATATTGTCTCGATGAATTATTTTTTGTCCCATTTATTGCTTTTTGCCTTGAATCTTTTCTCTGATTTCTGACATTGTTCTGTGAGTTTTGGGTAGCTTTCTGTGGGTAATTGTTCAGTTTATCTTTTTATCATTTTCCAGTTTTTGCTACAGTAATTTTTTTGAACATAATCTACAAGTGTCATTTAATATGTTTAATCTATTATAATTACTGATGTTTGAAATTATTTCTGTATTTTTTGTATTTTCTAATTGACAAGCTTTGTTTCTTTTTAAAACCTTTCCTGCCTTAATTGAATCTATCAAGTCTTCCCCTACCCCTACTAGTTCTTCGGTGTGTAACGATGTCTAATGTTATGTCCTGTCTAGCTCTCCTTCCCCAAACTGACTTTTTAAAAATTTATTTTATATTCAGAACTTTTGGAAAGTTTTACTAAATTTTGTTTATTATTATGTATTCTTTCAAAACTAATTTTTCCTTCTTAAAGTTTTTCCAGAAAGTGTATGCAGGTGGTAAGTTTTCTGAGCCTCTATGTCTTAAATTTTAATGATAGTTGGCTGGATATAAAATTTTAGGTTATTGATTTATTGTCAATTTGCGTCTAGTGTTGCTGGTAAGAAGACTGATGTCTCATTCTATCTTCTTGGTAGGTAATCTATGTTTTTCTTTCTAGTAGCTTTTAGCATTTTTCTCTGAAGATCTTTGTTATGATTTTACTTGTTTTTTTAAAAACTGTCCAGAACTTTTGTGAGCCCTTTCAATCAGTTCTGGGGAAAATGTCTATTTTTTTCAGATAATACTTATACATCCCTCTCTTTTCACCTTCCAGCTCTAAGGCTGCCTCGGGAAGTGGTGAAGGTTGCCTGGGGAGGTTCCTGATGCCGTACACCTCAACACACTTCCCTGTTCACTGCACCTGGGAACCCAGCTGAAACCGTGGCGGGGCGCTGATGCTGCTTCACACTTCATCTTGTTTACTCTTTGTTCCAATCCTGTTTTGAGAATCTGATTCTTTAGGTTTTAGTTCACTAAGAATTCTTTTTGTTTTTCAGTATGGTTATGAAGTACTTATTTAGTTTTAAAAAAATCCTTTTTATCATTTTTAAAATTTGCTGCTAGAGATCCTAGTCTATCTTGAAATCAGAAAACAAAAACAAAAGTATTTTAACATACCAGTTTCTTAGTAAGAGCGGGTTCTAGGCTATAATTTCTCTGAGCCTACCTGTTTAGAACCAATCAGGTAAGATGTTAAACTAGAGTGTTCCTCAAAATACATTCTAAAAAGCCATTCAGCTCAGGCACACCGAATAGATAGTAATGTTGAAAAAACACTTTGGTGAATAACTAACTGCATTTTCTTTGCGGGGGCACAATGCCCTGGCTACCAGGAGGAACAAAGACTAGAAT